TCCGATTAAAGTTGCCAAACCAGACCACTTGGACGCTGAAAGGAGTGAGACATATTCCTGGCCTCAAAAGAAATTTAATTTCTGTAGGACAACTTGATGGAGAAGGATATTGTACAACCTTTTCAGACTGTGAATGGAAGATTACCAAAGAAGCACTCATCATTGCTCGTGGTAAGAAGACTGATACTCTCTATGTAACCTCAAATTTAGAGAATATCATTGCAGTAGAAGATGATGATGAAAAATCAAACCTATGGAACCAAAGGCTTGACCATATGAGCGAGAAAGGGATGAAGACACTTTTGTCAAAAGGGAAGCTGCCGGATCTAAAGAATGTAGATGTTGGATTATTCGAGGATTGCATCTTTGGCAAATAAAAGAAAGTCATTTTTGCAAATATTGGTAAGACACCCAAGGCAAAAAAGTTAGAGTTGGTTCATACTGATGTATGGGGACCATCTCCAGTTCCATCTCTTGCAGGCTCACTATATTATGTACCTTCATCGATGATTCAACAAGGAAGGTGTGGGTTTATTTTTTGAAGAAGAAATCAGAAGTCTTTGATACCTTCAGAAAATGGAAGGCCAAGGTGGAAAATGAGACTTGTTTGAAAGTCAAGCGGTTGAGGTCTGACAATGGAGGAGAGTACAAAAATAGTAAATTCAGAGATTTCTGCGCAAACAATGGGATTAAGATGGAGACAAAAATCCCCTTGACACCGCAGCAGAATGGTGTAGCAGAGCGCATGAACATAACTCTAAATGAACGTGCCAGAAGCATGAGGATACATGTCGGCTTGCCCAAATTTCTATGGGCTGAAGCTATCAACACTGCAGCTTACTTGATCAACCGTGGGCCCTCTGTTCCCTTGGATGACAGAATACTAGAGGAAGTTTGGAGCAGAAAATAAATAAACCTTTCAAACTTAAGAGTGTTTGGTTGTATTTCTTATCTACACATAAACTCTGCTGAAAGAAGTAAACTTGATGCCAAGTCCAACAAATGCGTCTTTGTTGGTTATGGTGGTGATGAGTTTGGTTACCGGTTTTGGGACTACGAAAATCGAAAGATCATCAGAAGCAGAGATGTCATTTTTAATGAGAATGTGATGTACAAAGACAGGTCAACCGTAGAATCAAGTAGCTCCAATGCCGAAGCTGAAACAAAGAAATTTACTAAGTTCGAGGAAATATTTGGAAATGATGTTCATATTAGTCCTAAAAAAGTTCAAGAAGAACCATGCACACCAGAACTGAGACGCTCCTCCAGAATTCCTAAACCAACCCAACGTTTTGCACTACTTGTTGTTGACTGACAATGATAATCCAAAGTGCTATGATGAAGTAATGCAGGTGGAGGATTTAGCTAAGTGGGAGTCTTCCATGAAAGATGAGATGGACTCATTTATGTCAAATCAGAAGTGGGAATTAGTTGAATTACCACCAGACAAGAAAGCACTCCATAACAAGTGGATTTACATAATCAAAGAAGAGCACGATAGGAGCAAACACTACAAAGCAAGATTGGTTGTCAAAGGTTTTCAGCAAAAAGAAGGTATTGATTATAATGAAATTTTCTCTCCAATCGTAAAACTATCTACAATCAGACTGGTGTTGAAAATTGTAGCTGCAGAAAATCTACATCTTGAGCAGTTAGATGTGAAGACAGCTTTCCTTCATGGTGATTTGGAGGAAGAAATCTATATGAGGCAACCAGAAGGCTTCATAGAGGCAGACAAGAAAAACCTGGTATGCAAGTAGAAGAAGAGCTTGTATTGTTTAAAACAAGCTCCTAGACAGTGGTACAATAAGTTCAATAGCTTCATGGTAGCAGTGGTTTTACCATATGCCAAGCATATCATTGTTGCTACATCAAGAGGTTCGACAACAGCTTCATTATTTTATTATTGTACGTTGATGAAATGCTCGTTGCAGGTTCAGACATGCAAGAGATTATAAACTTGAAGCAAAAATTATCGAAGCAGTTTGCAATGAAAGATCTGGGCACTGCAAAGTAGATTCTTGGGATGAGGATCAATAGAGACACAAAGTCGGGGACTTTGATGTTATCACAGGCTGAGTAAATCAACAAAGTACTCTCCAGGTTCAACATGCAAGATGCTAAATCAGTAAGTATACCTTTAGGTGTTCATTTTAGAATCTCCAAAGAACAATCACCAAAGATGGAGGAAGAACGTGCACACATGGTGAAGGTGTCGTATGCCTCAGTAATTGGAAGTATGATATATGCCATGGTTTGTACCAGACCAGATATTTCTCATGCAGTGGGAGCTGTTAGCAGGTATATGAATAATCCAGGCAAGGTACACTGGGAAGCAGTCAAATGGATCCTTAGATATCTGCGGGGTACCACAAACAAAGCACTTTTTTTCAAAGGTGGAGATACGATACTGACAGGCTATGTAGATGCTGACTTAGCCGGAAATGTCGACATCAGAAGAAGCACTACAGGGTATGTCTATACTCTAGGAGGAACTGCAGTGAGTTGGGTTTCTCAACTACAGAAGATAGTTGCTCTCTACACAACTGAAGCAGAATATGTCGCTGTTATAGAAGCCAACAAGGAGATGGTTTGGCTACAAAGTTTCTTGGAAGAGTTAGGCAAGAAACAAGAAAACAATATATTGTATTGCGACAGTCAAAGTGCTATCCATCTAGCAAAGAATCCGTCTTTTCATTCCAAGACGAAGCACATACAATTGCGATATCATTTTATCCGGTCTCTTCTAGAAGATGGGATTTTGAAACTGGAAAAGATTAGTGGAGCTCAAAATCCGGCAGACATATTGACAAAGACGGTGACCACAGACAAACTGAAGTTGTGTTCAGTTTCAGTTGGCATGCTAGAATAACAAAACTAGAAATACTGCTGTATTGATCGAGGTGTGAAGACAGATTAAAATCAGTCTTCAAGTGGGAGATTGTTGAAAATATTAGCAGCCAACTACTATTATTAAGGGCTGCTAAATATTTTATTATTTTATAATAGAGATAATTACAAAATTGAGTCATTGAACTTTAGAGTATTTACAAGATTAGTCTTTAAACTTCAACTATAAATACCCTAACCCATTTAGCTTCAAAATCATCCCAAATCATTTCTTTTTCCCAATACTAGAGAGCTTTCTTGTGAGTAGTGAGTGTTTTGTAAACACCTGTAAATTTTCTCTCTTAGTAAAAGATCTGCAGCAGTCCGGAGACATATGCATAATTGGCTTAACTCTGTTATCAATTTCGGGTATTATTTTTTCGCTTTTATTTCACATTCTCACTAATCTAGTTATAGAGAAATTATTTGTTACTCGTTTATTTCCCAACAACAGCTTATGCGGTCTTCGACTTAAGATTCAGGAACAACTCAATAGTTAGAGTGGCACACCATGAAAAAGGCTGAGCCAAAAGGATCTGATATAGCAATGAGGGGATGGTATGCACGGTCAGGTGACTGGATTGCTAGAAAGTTGGGGCAATTAGTCTTTGAATATACTAATTTGGTGAACCAGTATGAAATAACAGCAGATAAGGCAGAGGTTATGGTTCATGCAGATGAAGAGCAATATGCATGCATGTTATGTGGTGAGATATTCGAAGATTTCTTTAGCCAGGACAGGGGTGAATGGATGTTTAGGGGAGCAGTATACTTGACTATCCCATCACAGCAGGATGGTCAGGGTGGATATACTTATAAGAGTGCAGCCAAGGGTCCCATTGTGCATGTAAATTGTATGTCAGAGAGTTCAGTTCATGACTTGGTTCTTAAAATGGTATAACTTTCTCAATGTGTTTAGATCCATCCTTATAAATCTCTGTTTGCATTTATTCTCCAGATGTGCTTGGTCACCTGATATCAGTTGCGCTTGTTAGGAAAAAGGAGAATAACGTGCCGAGGAGAAAATCAAGCTGCAAATCTTCACTTCTTTTTGGGAGAAGTATATAACCTCTTAAGGTGAAAAATAGAGCAACCCCATGCGGTGTTTTTCTTTACAACTTGATGGAGGTTTAATTTTTTATGATAGCTTGAAGGTCTAATGACCCATGCAAATTTTGCTGTGCCCTGTGAAGGTACTGAGATTGTCTACTAATTGTGTTGTTGCTGCCTATAAAAAATATGAAGACTCGATAGTTTTTCCACTTTGCTGGAGCGAAATTTGATAAAAGAGAACTTAGAATTAATTATACATGTCCATAGAATGACATCTTTCTTAAGACTGGGTCACTTAACTAAGCTAAACAAATGTGATTTTTCTCTTATTTTCGTATTTTTATGAACCTTTTACTTTTTAAAGAACTCTATAATATTAAATATATATAAACTTAAGAAAAAAAGCAATTTTTCCAAAAATATTAAACTATTAAATGTAATAACCTTAAATATTAAAAAATTATTCTCATTTCATCCCTCAAATTAATATTTTCCCAAAATTATAATTTGTGTTAAATTAATTTTTTTTAAAAGAAATAAAAATCCATAAATTCATTAAAAAATCATAAAAATTGAAAAGATCTAAAAACTGCAAAATATGGAAATAAAATCAAACGTCATTCAGGCTATTAGATCTATTTGGGTGAGGAGCAGCCGATCAAATTAGGGCTCCAAATTCCAATTTCTTTTCTAAATTTTACTCTATGCTTAAATAAACCTTCGTACTCTCGAAATTTACAATCAAGCCTTAAACTTGCTTCATTTTCTCCTTCAACGTTCGCTCTTTCATGCTCTTATATATTCCCCTTTCCCTTCCAAACAAATCCCTAATTCCCCCTTTCTTTTTGTTGGTTCTTTATATAGATAATTCTCGGCTCTTCCTTTACTTTTAGAAAACTAGAGTTTATTTTTCTTTTCTTTTTGTTGTAGTGTGAGGACTTTATGTTTTTCCTTCATTACACAATTCGGTTCTTACATTTTTGTATTTCTTGGATTTATATTTATTATTGTATTGCCTCAATTTTTTTTATTTTCTGATTGTTGATTTAGGGTTTTCGATTTATTTGTACTTTGTATGTTAATCAATCAATATGGAAAATCCGCGTAGGTCGTTTGATAGATCAAGAGGACCCGGTTTGAAAAAACCGCGTTTAAACGAAGACCTCGCTCTGAACCGTAATGCCCGGCCTTTTCCTCAGCGGACCAATCCGGCTGGTTCGGCATCTGCTTTAAGATTCCAGCCCAATGGTTCCGACACGGATGACATGAGTCCTGGCGGTGGAGCTTACGAGCCACAGCCAGTGTCACATCACCAACAACAGCAGCAACATCAGGAGTTAGTTAGCCAGTACAAGACGGCGTTAGCTGAGCTGACTTTTAACTCGAAGCCAATTATAACTAACTTGACAATAATAGCCGGCGAGAATGTCAACGCTGCCAAGGCGATTACTGCTACCGTTTGCGCCAACATTCTTGAGGTGAACTCAGTTCTAGCTGTGCCTTACGTGTTAAAAGCTTTCCTTTTTGTTTGAAATTGAATTGTACAGAGAAATGAAGCATATATGTGCTTGTATTCCGTGGGAAGAATACGAAAGAGGAAAATATAAGTTGGATTGTAAGTGTAAATTGGATTAATGGATGATTATAGTTTCAGTTTTATCAATGCACGTCTCGATATGGGTTTCCTGAAATGGTTGGCATAGCGTTTTCAAATTCAAAATTTATATTTTCACAACAAATGATTAGATCATTGATGTTTCCAAGGGTGTTCGTTATTAGTGACAGGCGCAGCATGTGAGATTGTAATGATGTGTTTTCATTGCTAGGCTATTTAATTTCAACCTAAGATCTTGTTACCTGAAAATTTCTTATTTCCTTTATGTCCATGATAGTCTCTCATGGATCTGATATTTTTCTAGTGACCCTATAAATGTAGACATCCGGCTATTGGGTTTAGAGATGATAAATTTTACAGCCATGTGCTTGTAAGTGCTTACCAATTTACATGAATCATCTCTTTCTAGCAATTTTTGTTTTATTACTAGAATGTCATTAGGATGCTGAGATGTGAGAATAGAACTAGAATTGCTAAGGGCTTGTAAGTGCTTAAGTTGAGTTTGCTGTTACTTCCTGCCCTCTTGAGCTCATGACTGGCAGATGATAAAGATCAGCTTTCCAAATCTACTTTAAACTGTTGCCTCAGATGTGATTACTTGAACTCCCAACGGATTTATATTCTGTGATGGAGCTATTTTCTGAAAGTTGCAATCAGATAGAAAGTCAAAAAGGGGGGAAGAAAATGAAGTATAAACAGATAAGGCAAAGTCAGATTTCAGTGAAATGGAAGTGCACACTCATGAGTTAAAAGGCCGACTACTTTTGGTTGCTAGGATTCAAATACTTTTAAATCTTTATTGCTGATACTTCCATCTCTATTTTTTTTTTACTTTTCTTCATTACTAGGAAAATGACGCATTTGGTTCATTTTAGTTATTTATTTTTTCCGCTTGTCCTCATTTCTCCCTCATCTCATTTTCTTTTACATTAAAGCTTTGCTGCTATTATGGATGCGGTTAGTATTATGAATAATAATTAGTTCAATAAAGCTTTTGTGGTTCGGGAGCTGATTAAAAAAATGACTTTGCAGGTTCCCAGTGACCAAAAGCTGCCATCACTCTATCTTTTGGATAGTATTGTAAAGAATATTGGGAGAGATTACATTAAACATTTTGCTTCCAGATTGCCAGAGGTTAGGTTTCATTATTTCTTTGACTCCATTACTGAATGGGAAATCTGAAAAAATTTCTTGTTGTATGCTTTTGTTTGATTGATTATTGCTTAATATACTGCAGAAGACTATGTTGTCAATGAAAAAACTATATCCTTTAACAAATGTACACTTCCAGATCCAGTTTCCACCATTATGTGCGCAGGATCTTAAACTCTTCGAAATGCTGAAATCTTCTTTGTATGTAACTTTTGTGTTTGTATAGAATGAAGTTGATACTCATGTTGGGTGTATAATCCTTATCATTTTGACTGTTGGATTTAGGTGTTCTGCAAAGCATATAGACAAGTTGATCCTCCTGTGTGTCAGAGTATGCGGCATCTTTTTGGTACATGGAAAGGGGTATTCCCTCCTCCAACCCTGCAGGTGATTGAGAAGGAACTTGGCTTTGCTCCCATGATAAATGGTTCATCTTCAGGAACGACAACATCAAGATCCGATCCACTTTCACAGCGTCCACCACATAGCATTCATGTAAATCCAAAGTATCTAGATAGGCATCGACTTCAACAGTCTAGCAGGGTAAATTCTACAATCATCTTGTCCTCTATTTTGGCATCTTATTTGTTCAAGTTCTATGTTAAAGTTCCATTCAAGTGCATTTCATTATATTTCTGAAGCTGTGAAGCATTTATTGAGGTTGGAGATTGCTTATGTTTATGAAGCTAGCACTTTAACTGCTTTTACTCCCGTATTTTCTTCACCTTGTTCGTTAAAGATTCATATCCAAAATTTTGAGATTCCCTCTATGTCATTCCTTTCTAGTCCTTTGTGGAATCATATCTATACCACCATGCCAATTCTTTTGGTCCTTGTCTTGATTTCAACTTCCTTAATTTTACTCAGCGCTATGTGATAGATTTAATGCCTGTATTATATGGGATTTTCTATTGATTTGCTTTTGTGATGAAGGTAAAAGGTATGGTCAATGATATGACTGGGACTTTGGCCAACTCAAAGGAGGATTATGAGAGGCCGGATAGAGCAGCCATTACAACTGGACGGCCATATGGAGATCCTTCTGTTAAAATGAATGTATGTGAGGAGTTTTAAAGTTTGTTTCAATCTGTTTATTACTTTTTCACTTTCTGCTTCTGTTTTGAAGTTGTCAGAACATTCGGTGTTCTCATAGATATGCATTTAGCGATACTGTTTGTGATAAGAACATTGGTTTAGCATTTGGTACTTATGACTATGGCTCTAATCTTTCACAGGCTAATGGTGTGGGTGTTGGAAGAGCCAGTGTTACTGAGGCTATTTCCAGCCAGAGGAATGGTTTCAATGTTAAACATGGGTCTCAAAATTACTCGGCATCCAAATCTGGGAATGCTGATCCTCGTTTATTGGCAAGACAGAACATTGCTGGTAGAAGCAGTAAAGCGATGCTCAGCAGCTGGAAAAATTCAGAGGAAGAAGAATTTATGTGGGAGATGCACTCTAGGTTGTCTCAACATGATGCAGCCAACATCTCTAATAACTCGAGGAAAGATCATTGGACTCTTGATGCTTCAGAAAAGTTGGTAAGATTTCAAGATTAGGGCTTTGAATTGAATTACATAATTTTACTATTTATGTTCTAAGAAATATCTTTTCTCAACTTGTAAAGATGAACGTTATGTAATTGTCTCTAATTTAATATGCCGAAATATTTGCTATATGTCTGTTCATATTCTTTTTTTGGGGTACCATAAATGCATTTATACTTATAGGTTGTGTAAGGTACAAGACTTAAGATCTACTGCAGTTATTAATATGCATATGAAGGTGTAAATAATGCATTATTGACAAGCACTGTTGTTTGGCTGAGGAACATTGTTTGATATACATGTATATGTATGAATTTATATACATGTCTACATATATATATATTTCTAGCTTCCTTGTTTTTCTTTCCTCTGGGTTTAATTTTTTGGAATATTTATAATTTCCTGTATTTCACTTTCGATGGTAGGATTTGGAAAGACCGTTCCGCAAAGCACAAAGTATTCATGATGTTGGGTCCAGGATCGACAGAGAAACATCTTCTGATTCATTATTTACCGAGCAGAAGGAAAAAACTTCTTATGGGCGTCAGATCTCATCTGCATGGCCATTGCAGGAGTCACATAAAACAGATGGTTTGCCTGCTTTTAGTTCCAGCCATTCTGAAAGCTATTCTGCCACTATTGGTGGGTTGCCTTCTGCTACAAGTTCTTCTCTGGCCAGGATTGAAAAGCGAACCCAAACAGGTTCATCTCATTTAGGACAGCAGCGTTTTCAGTCTGCATCACCACCTGAACAGTCTCCTTTGTCCCAGCATTCCTCTTTACCTTCATTTTCTTCACGCCATACTCATCAACAGTTGCAGAATTTTGTTGAGCCACAAACTCATTCCCTACCTCCCTCTGATCCAAATATATCTAAGTTTTTAGGGAAGTTGGGTGTTGGATCTCTTAAACACTCTCATCAGGTTTCTTCTGCTTTGACCTCTCGATCTAGCTACCCTTGTTCTCTTTCACAACCACCAAAACCAGACCTTGTGCAGGTTGAATCTTCTGGTCAGACTCCGAAGCCGCTTCTGTCCCAGTTCTCCAAAGTAGGAGCAGCCTCAATATTTGGAAATGCATCAGAGACCAATCCACTTGCTACCGGAACTTCAGAACCGTCAAGTACTAGTAGTCTATTGGATGCTGTAATGAAGAGTGGCATCCTCTCTAATAATTCCCTTATTGGTAGCCTTCCAAATAAAATTCCTCAAGATTTGGAGCAAGTGCCATCACAGCCTGGTATTTTCAATTCGTCAGGTTCTGTGTTCCACAATGCGATAGCAACTACTACAAATAGTTCTCGGGTAAAAGTAGAACAGCTACCACCTTCATCTGTTGTTAATAATGCCCCAGTGCAAACTTCAGATCCTGAAAGCAAGGCTTCAGTTCCTGTATCCAACCTTTTGAGCTCATTAGTAGCGAAAGGTTTAATATCTGCATCAAAGGATGCCATGTCTGTCCCATCTCTTCAAATTCCTACTCAAATGAAGAAGAGCCTGGAAAGGGAGGGGCCATCTGAATCACTGAACAAGAGCTTGGAAATTTCTACCAGTAGCCCTTCACCAGCTTCTTCCATTCCTATTTCATATGATGCTCCTCGCTCCTCCACCATGGACGAGATCTCATTTGCCGAACCTGCTACAAAATGTTCAGTTGCCTCACATCAGTCTGCCTCCGTAGAAGAAGTGGAAAACCTCATAGGTCTGGAATTCAGACCTGATGTAATCAGAGAATTTCATTCATCTGTGATCAGTGGACTGTTGGATAACCTTCCTTACTGTTGCAGCTTATGTGGTCTTCGACTTAAGCTTCAGGAACGGCTCAATAGACACTTAGAGTGGCACACCATGAAAAAGGCTGAGCCAAAAGGCTCTGATATAGCACATAGGGGATGGTATGCACAGTCAGATGACTGGATTGCTGGAAAGCCAGTGCAATTAGTATTTGAATCCACTAAACCAATGAACCAGTATGAAATGACAGCAGATGAGGTTATGGTTCCTGCAGATGAAGATCAATATGCATGCCTGTTATGTGGTGAGATATTCGAAGATTTCTTTAGCCAGGACAGGGGTGAATGGATGTTTAAGGGAGCAGTATACTTGACTATCCTATCACAGGAGGATGGCCAGGGTGGAACTGCATATGAGAGTGGAGCCAAGGGTCCCATTGTGCATGCAAATTGTATGTCAGAGAGTTCAGTCCATGACTTGGTTATTAAAATGGTAAAAGCTTCTAACTCTCAATGTGTTTAGAACCATCTTTATGAACCTCTGTTTGCATCTATTTTCCCAATGTTTTTGGTAACCTGATCATCAGCTGCGCATCTTGTTAGGAAAAAGGAGAATAATGTGTTGAGGTGAAAATCGAGCTACAGATCTCACTTCCTTTTAGGAAAAGAGAAGAACATAACCTGTTAAGGTGAAAAATGGAGCCACCCTCTGCGGTGTTTTTCTCTATAACTTGATGAAGGATGGAGGTTTAGTTTTTTCCTGATAGCTTAAAGGTTTAATGACCCTATGCAAATTTTGGTGTCCCCTGTGAAGGTGCTTAGATTGTCTACTCATTGTGCTGTTGCTGCCTCTTTTTCCGCCTTACTTTTCAAAGTAATATGAATATAGGGGGTAGCTTTTCCACTTTGCTGGAGCAGATTTGAAATTTGATAAACAAGGAAGCTTATTTATCTCATATAAGATTATACGTGCAATTACATTCTTTTATTGTGTTTTCTGGCTGGTACAGGGCCATGGAATGACACCTTTATTAGAGTAGATGACTTAGTTAAATGGATAATACTAATTATACACCTAGTCACCTACAACCTAGTAACTACACAAAACCTCTCTGTTTCAAAAAAAAAAAAAAGAGAGAAAAGCTCATCATTCCACTGAGGTGAAATTTTTGTGTATAGTTGTTTTCTAGTTATACCCCTTTGGTATCATTCTGTTTATTTATACCTATCATTTTGTTCTCAATTATTTATGTGCTATATAATTTTCTTATTTGCTATCTCAATAGTATTTTTTTAAAAAAAATAGTTGAATCAACTAAATCGTGTAACATGTTATAAATAAAAACATCTTTGAAAATTTTTAAAATTCATAAAATTTGAAAGATTTTTTTAAAATGTCTAGTTTTCATAATTTTAAAAATGTATTGTATTTATATTGTTTGAAATTCTAGTTAGTTTAATTTATTATCTAAAAATTAATTTTTTTTTAAAAATCATACAAAATTTAAAATTTCAGAAATTTAGAAAATTCTGCATGTTTTAAAATAAATTTTGGATTTCCCCATATATTTTGCATTTTGTGAACCCTTCTCTTTTTGAAGAATCCAAAAAATTCAATAAAAAATTAAATGTAAAACCCTAAAATTTTAAGAAAAAAGCAAATTATATAATTTTTTGAATTTATATATTAAATTTTATTTCCCCTAAATTATAATTTATGTTTAATTTATTTTTTAAAGAAATTAAATTGAAAAAATATAAAAATGGGAAAGACCTAAAAATGTAAAAAATATTAGTTTTTAAAATAATTTTTTTATAAATTTCATTTTACATCTTTTTGATTTTCTTAGAAATAAATTTCTTTTTATTTTTTCCATGACACGTAGTACATTTTTTTAATGATAAAAAGTAGAAGCCTAGCTACTAGTTTGACTTGCAAAACATTGAACCCATACGGCCCCGATCAAGTAGATGTAGGAGATCAGCTGGTGGCTTTACTAGGACAGTTAAAAATACCAATTTGGGCGTTGGGATGCTTGGCAATAGCATCAGTGGGGTAGTTTCACTCTCTAAGAGTTCATCTAACATTCGTAATCCAAATTTTGTAGCGAAGCCTAGCGGTTGCACGCACCATTGAGAGGGGCGAGGTAGCAGCAGCAGGATCATTGAACAGGCGAGTTGCTTGTTCGCAATCCGACTGAAATTGGATTACTTCAAAACTCTGTTTCCGGGCAATTTGTAAGCCACGCCCAGAGCTCAGCTTGGAGAGCTTCAAGAACTCCCACCGCTTTGTGGAAACCAATGATCCAATTCCCTTCATTATCCCATATGAGCCCTCCAATAGTTCCTTTTCCACTCTATCTCGAAATGAATCCATCAACATTGATGCAGCGACAACCTGAATTCAAAGCCTTCCAATGTTTAATGTCCTGTTGCAATCTAGTGTTAGGAGGGCGAGTATTTAAAACACCATGAAATACCTGGCTCAGTTGAGGCTAGAACGCATGGTTTCCGAGTCTAAGAGGTAGATGCGTTGAAGATAATGTTGTTGTCTCTTCCAAATGTTCTAAGTTAAAGCTGCAAAGAGGAATTTCCAAGGAATCCCCCTACTTGGATGAATAATATTCGTGTGGAGCCAAGTTTCAATGCCAGATTGAAGAAATTATTCGTATTAGCAGGTAAAAAACGGTTCCAAAGAGAAGAGGCACTTGGACAGTTACAGAGTAAATGAATGCAACTTCAATCGCACAAGAACATTGATGGCAGCAAACAAAATGAGAGATACCTCTACTGCACCTCTTGACATTCGTTAGCAGTTTTTCACGATACGCAAACCAGATAAAATAACAGATTCACTGCGGAATTGGAATACTCCAAATGTCTTTCCAGATAGGCTATTTAGGATCCCAACTGGAAGCTCTGAGCTAGTGGTAGGCAGATTTAACATTGAAAATATGATTGGGATTGACCTTCTAGACACATGTATTGTCACACCCCTATTTTTATTTAAATTAATTTTAATTTGGTTAATTATATTTTGGGACCAAATTACGAGAATCCTAAAATTTTGGGTTGGTTTTCAAGTTTTCAAGCAATTTAGGGATCCAACTCTAAATTTACCCATCTCATTTTAGCAAAGTAAATAAAAAAAATAGGAAATGTGAGGCTAGTAAATCTTGAACCCATAACCTAGGGTATGGTCGGCTATGGCTCAACCAACTAGGCTAGGTTGGTTAATAAAATATTAAAAACCATCTTTTATAATTTTATATGGATCATATGTTTGAACCCAATTATTTTCCCCATTCAAACCAAAATCTAGGAAAATTTTATCGTCCCCTTACCGTTGTAACCCTGACCAGCCCTCTCTCGACCGCCGTGAAGTACACCGCTGCCACCGGAGGGTTTGCCGTCACCTCGCGATCAAAACCCTGGTATTCCCTCATCGAGTTTCATCGTCGTTGGTAATAGAAAAGCTCCCGAAAGCTTTGTTGGAAACTTAGACCATCATTGCTGTTTTTCTCCATTTTTGACTGATCCCAACATCCGTTTACTACACCACTATCGCTGATGGGTTTAGCTCATCATCGCGCTTCAACTGGTGGACTCATTTCCAACTTCGTCGCCGGCGTGTAGGAGCTTTAAAAGGGAGAAGTTTTGGTTCCTTTAAAAAGTCAAACTCCGTCTCAATCCAAGTTTGGTAAGTGAGCTAAAATAACATGATTTTTGATTCTGGAGAGTTTGGTGGCCGTTTGACTACTAAAGCATTGCATGTATCCCTATGCGCTGCCTCTGTGCATGGGGCCTCTCTATAGCATAGGGAGATTTCTCGAACTAGTTCAGACCGCCCAAAACTGATCCAATGTTGAGTTAAGCCAAGTCGATTGTCTAAGTTGGGCTGTGAGTCGTTGATTGACATTGATCAATCTTTGACTTTTTTGAGACCATATATCTTAATGTTTTAGATATCCTGAGTCTATTTTAGGGCATGTTTCATTAAATTTAAAGCCGAAAAGATGGTTTTTAGCATTTTATCTTCTAATTCAATTTGATTTTCATGTTTGAGATCCGTTTATGATGGAATTCATTTTGCTATGTTTTCGAGATGTTTTGGGTTGTTGAATTCAAGTTCGAGGGCGATTGAATGGACTTTAAATAGTCGACTGATGTAGTTTGGAACTCGAGGTAATACTTTACTATTCTATGCAAGCTTTATGGTACATGTTGGTGCTCGTTAATGCACGATTGAAATGATTAGTTATGTAAATTTTGATGATTATTCTTAAAATCGTATTAAATATGATAATAGAACAGTAAATTGGCTAAGTCTTGATTGAATCGTATAATAAATTAGAAGACTAGTATGGAATAATTCTAAGGTTAGTGATTAATTGATAAAGGAATTAACTTTGAATCCATAACTTTTGATTATTATTGATAAATGTATTAAGGCCAGAAATACTTGAATAAAATTTATGAAAATTCCCTTGAGATGTAAAAGGGACCTGAATTGACCCCGATAGTGGAATGGGCCTAAGAACTCGCATTCAACTCGATAAACTTATTGATTCACTTGTCTCGTCTTTGACCTGTCCACAAAAATCGTAGTAATCAGTTTCTAGCCTCTGAGAGGGTAAATTACATAGAATTTTTGATTCTATGAGCATGCATCTAAAGAGTGAATTACTGGAACTTATGCATACTACTGAATCGAAGAGAATGATCAAAATACCCTTGAGCTCTGAAATAACCAAAATGACCTTGAGTGTTGAAATGACCTAAATACCCTAAGGACATGTATTAAGGGAATTCTTATGGATGAGTTCTGAAAGTACCAGTGAAGATTTAAATGTTGTAACGCCCCTAAGAGTTTTAGAGTACAACCTTAGTATGTCGACCATCCGTGTTTGATGAGATTTAAAAGCATGATAAATCATTAGAGATTTGGATTGCTACAAATTACCATTTTATCCTTACTAAACTAATTACCAAAATTTCTCTTTGTTCGCGTTTTGTGAGTGCTAAATATGGACGTGGAATATGTGCAAGTATAAACAATCGAACAAGTAATAAAGTGATGAGTGAGTATCGTCTCCTTAGGGATTGGTGGAAATTACAAAGTTTAACCAAAACAAAGAACTACTCTATCTAAGTATAGTTAGTAATGGTATGCACTAAAGACGGATGCCAAGGTAAAAGATATTGGCGAGGATGGAATGATGGTATGATGTGGAAGCAAATGGTAATGTCGAGGCAAAATGGATGTAAATGTAGTGAAAAATATATTGTGTAGTAAAATAAAGTGAAAATATAAAGGCAAAACAAAAGATAAAAAATGGATAGAATGAATTGACTTGATAATCCTCACACAACAAGTTGCAATGAGAATGAATGATAGGAGTCACTAGGATACTTAAGCCTAATTTCTCAAGATAATCGCATTTCTATGTTTTACTTGCCCGACAAAGTTTACTAAAAATTCCCTATGCTATCTCTAGTTAAGGGACTCGACAGGATAACAATGCCATGGCAATACCTATTGGCGTTAGTAGGTGCAGTGATTCCATCAGTGAAATGGAATATGTCATGGAAATACCCTTCAGTATTCTGCACTAACATCTAACCTCTCGACCGAGCACTACTCCTTTTAGTTGATTGAAATCCTAGTTTTAGGATTAGGCTTAGTTACTATATGAAACCCATTGTTTATATAGATCCCCCTTAGTTTCTCTCAAATACTAAAGATAAGCTATTTAGTTTCTTTTAACACTAACTATTTTCCTAAGGAGTGTCTATTCTCATAGCTCCTACAACCTTAAGACATTAGGCTCCATAAACAAAAAAAATAAAATCATAGAAAATAATAATCATTCAATAAAGTAAAAACTTAAACATTCGTAATAA